GGAAAAGTTGCTTGGGTAAGAGCATAATTGGAATGGTGGTGCAGGGTCAACAGGGTAAAAGAATCAAGAAATAGTGCTACGAGTTTAGGGACCAACAAGGCATTCCCTGCGTACAGGTGGTTGAGGATGGAAGTTTGGGGAGAATATTGAGGAGTGGGGCTGGGAGGACAGAAAAGTGATAAATCACTAGTAGGCTTGAATATCATGGCTTGTGGTTTGGAATTTATCCACAAGATAGTAGGAAGATCTTAATAGGTTTAAACCGGGCTGTGATGTGGTCAGATTTGCTTCTTAGAAGTTTTTCAGCTACAATATGGTAAGTCAAGGTGAGGGCAGAGAATTCTGTTAGGAGGCTATGGCAGCCAGCGAAGTAAAAGCCATGGAGAAGTACAAAGGAAATACCATTGGGGAAAACATGGAGTGAAGGAATTTATAAGAAGGTGGATTTTATGACAGTTGGTGATTAACTGGATGGTTGGGGGCAGGGAAGAGAACTTCAGTGTCTCTAGGTTATTTCTTGGACAATAGAGCTTGACCCTGTCTTTGAAAATAAGTTCTCAAAATATACTCAATCACAATGCCATATCATCCCCTGAGACATGAAATTTAACTTCCCTCACACTCCTGGTTTCAAAGCCTTGAAGTTTATTTCTGGACTAATGTCCTCTACTAATATTAGATACACTTTTGAACCCTGATGGAGGTTCTACCATTGGCAAAAAGCAGGCATCCTGATGGGATTTTTATGGATTCTCAGTGGCAACAAGAGCCTGTCTTCTTCCTTCACAATTCAGGAAACTCTTCAGTATATTAGTGCTATGAAAAGCACAGCTGTCCCTTCTGAGAGTGGATCTTGTTGGCTTTGACACATCTCTATGATGAGAAGAAATAATTCTAAAAGCCTGTTAATTTTTCTCTCCAGCAAGACAGCTACCCGATAACTGGATTATCGGTCAGGATCCTTCTTTTTTCAACTGAAATGCCATCAATTCTCCAGATACTACCCAAATTCCCACCGCATCCATGAAGTCATACCCAGCAATACCAGCAGACTTTGATTTCTTCTCCTCTGTCTTAACATCAGTCCCATTCATTTTATCCATTTGTTTCACTAGTTCATGGATTTATTGAGTCCCTGCCATGTACCAGGCATTAGTTTAGTTCTTGAGAACATAGAGGGGAGTAGACCAAAGTGCCTACACTCATGGAGCTGACATTGGTGGGAGAAGGAAGTCAATGAGCAAATAAACAAATAAATGAACCAGAAAATTTTAGAGACTGAAATGATATGAAGAAAATAAGAAAAAGTGTTATTGGTGCTGGGGAAGGCTGGATAATTTAGACTGGTCAGTACAGAAGGCCTTATTGAGTCCTGGGTGGTCAGAAGTCATCAGAAGCTATTAGGTGGTGCTTTCTGGACAGAAGTCCTAAGGAAGGGCCAAGTTTGGCTTGTCCAGTGTAGATGAATGCTCCAGTGCATCTGGAGCATAATTTATATCCAGCTGACTTATTGTATTCTCTACTTTTCCATATTTGCACTCTGCGGGTTTCAGGCTAATTGGGTTATTTGCATACATATTGTTTCTTACTAAAATCCCACACTCCTCGAGGGCAAGGGTATATCATATACTTCATCTGTTTTCCCCACAACCTCTAGCATAAGGCTAAGGACATTACTAGGTGCTCAATAAATTCTTGCTAAATTCAATTGAATTTGCAGCAATAGGTTTGTTTTTCATAATACAAAGAGTGAACAAAAGAAATATTTACTAAACAACCCAGTGATACTATAGCAAAGGTTCAAAAACAGATTATAAGTTGCTCCCCCAAGACTTGAAAGGTACACTTTCATTATGGTAATTGTCCTCTGATCTGTTAGTCATCTGTGTTCAGGGAGTCATTTTCTGTGACAGTAGTCCACATTTCTGAGAGAGAGAGATTTACCAGGACATGGCTTTGGTAATTACAAATGATTTCACGTACTGCTTGAAAAATAAGAGCAAGAAAGGAAAGAAAATTTATCTTCTGTATTCAACACCTAATTCTCTGGGGACAAAGGCAGGGAGAGGCCAGGTCCTAGAACCTTGACTCCAAGAAGGAGTTGATGAGAGAGAGTAAATCTGAACAATAATAAGTAGGAGGAGGAGGAGAGACATTGGTGGATGAGTGGCTCCAAGGCCAGAGTTGCTGATAAGCCAAGGTAAACTGAGTCAAAGAATAAAAAATAACAGGAGGATGAGGAGTGTGGTTAGACCCAAAGTGGGCAGGCCTGAATGCCCAGACATTCATTTTGCAAGTAGGCTAATGGACACCCAATTAGAGCCACAGCATCATTTTTATCTACATCCTTTGGCAGACTCAAGGATGCATTTCTGCCCAGAACGGCTCACAGTGCGATGTTTTATTTCATGTTCGTAGAAGAGAACACTGCAAATAAATGCATAAAAGACCTTTACATATGAAAGGAATCTCTACTTCACTCATCGTGAGATACCATTTCACTCAGTGAAAACAGTACACCAAGATACCATTTTTCACCTTTCAGACTGGCAAAAATTTCACTGTTGGCAAGACTGTGGGGAAACACCATTTTTACACCTGGCTGGTGGGAGTATAATCCCTGTAGGGAGCGATTTGCTATTATCTATCAAAATTATAAATGGATATAGACATTGAACCACCTTGGGGAGTTTAGTCTATAGTTATATTTACACCTAGATAAAATAATGCATGTACAATTTTACTTATTTATTAAATAGCAGAAATAGAAAACACCCAAATGTACAATAAACTATGGTATGGTTATATAATGAAATACTAGTTGGCTATAAATCAAGCAATCCCAAAACTAAATCTCTGAAATAAAAGTAAAATGAGGACTTTCTCTTGCCCTGCTGGGAAAGGTCTGCAGCAGGAGAAAGGCAAGCCCAGCTGTGTGTTTAATATATGCCCTTTTCTGCAAAAAAAAAAAAGAAGAAAGCTAAGAACGTATTTTTATGTTTGCTCATATTTGCATGGGGACCTGGAAAAATACACAAGAATGCAATACATGTGTCTATCTTCCAGAGGGGTGACTGAATGAATAGGGGACTGAAAGACTTTTCAGTGTCCATTAAAATTTTGTGATTTTTTTTTGAAATATATGAAAGAATTTCTTAAAGATATTTCAAGGTCTTTGTCCTCTTAGAACTTATAGTATAGTAGGAGAGACAGAACATATAGAGAGACATATAACATAATGTCAAATAATGATAATTACTAAAAATAAAAAATAAAGTTCTGTAAAGGGATGGACAGAAAAGAGATGATATTTTAGATAAGAGGTCAAAGAGAGGCCACTCTAAGAAGGTAACATGAAGAGAGAAAACTGAATGAAGTTAGAGGGGGCAATGTAGATAACTTGGAAAAGAGTGATCTGGGCAAAGGAAACAGCAGTTGTCAACATCATGCAGCAAAACCACACCTATTACACTCATCAAGCTATGGTGTGGGATTTTTGGCAAGGTGGCCAGGGGCAAGGTTACGTAAGAACTTGTAGGTCTTGGTGAGGGTTTTGGATTTTGTTCTCTATGTAGTTGGAAGACAATTAACTTTCTGTTGACGTCTGGTGCTCTGTGGGTTCTTCTAGTTCCTTCTCTGTTTTGGCTTTATTTGCCTCCCACCCAGCCAGGGTGCCATGATCACAGTAAAAATGCTCCCTTATCCTGATGCTCCCTTTTGCCAGTCTCCATCCTTGAACAACTTCCACTATGCATTTTCTTTTCTTGGGTAGCAGAATAAAAGACAGGCAATGAGCCCAATGCTAGGCTTCACCACAAATTCATGTTCTCTAGCTGCTTTGGGTCTGAGTCTATAGCCATAAATTTTTCACCTTTTATTAATTTCCTATTGCATCCATCCACTCTCAACCATCCCCTCAGTCGTTACACATTAGTTGATGACCTCACTTCTTGCTTTAACAAAAATTGAGTTCATTGAAATTCCTTTAACTTAACCTGCAGCTATCTCCTAGTCCTTTTCAAACCCACCCCATCATCTGATAACCTCTCTTTGTGAGTGGCACCATCACTCACTCAGTTATCCAATCAGAACCCTGGGGATCATCCCTGATCATCCCTGATCCCTTCAGTGCTTATATTCAACTAGTGCCTTAGTGTTGTAGATTCTACCTCCTAAATATATCCTGATGCTAGCCCTTCTGCTCCATTCTTACTTCTTAAGGTTAAATTAGGTCATTAAGATGGGACTCTAATGATGAAATTATTCACTTTATAAGAAAAGAAGATCCCTCTCTCTCCCTCCCTCCCTCCTTTTCCCTCCCTCCACCTCTCCACACATCCCCACTTTGGAAACACACTGAGGAAAGGCCAAGGGAAGACATAGTGAGAAGTTGGCCACGTGCAAGCCAGAAAAAGAACTCTCACCAGAAACTGAGTCAGCTGGCACATTGATCTTAGACTTCTCAGCCTCCAGAACTTTGAGAAATAAATGTCTGTTATTTAAACCACCCATTCTATGGTATTTTATTATGGCAGCCCCAGCAGACTAAGGGTTGTTGTGAAGATTAATGGGAAACAACATGTGTAAACTCCTCTGAAAAAAACTTGACCATGGTAGGTGCTCTGGAAAATTGGTTACTAAGATTAGCATCTGTTTTCAACCCATGCTCACCCACTTCCCACCATGTAACAGTTCCAAGGATTATTTGAAGTTTCTGGCTAGTGTTTACTCTCTTACACTGTGAGATTATGCATTTCATCTGGACATCTATCCATGTTTTTAGTACTCATTTTCACCCTAGGACAGAGTAAATAACTGTATCAGACAGAACCATTGTATTATAGTTATGCCCTATGTGATCCTCTCCCTTGAGTATGGGAAGAACCTGTGACTTGCTGCTATACTGAACAGAACATGTGGTTATTTTGTACTTGATTATGTTATACACATTCGCAGTTCCCATCTTGTTGAAGTCTCTCTTTTCTTTGCTAACTTTGAAGAAGCAAGCTGCAATGATGGAGAATACAACATGGCAAGAAACTGGGGGACATCCTTCAATGTCACCTGGCAAGAGACTGGGACCACTATTACAGCAGCCTCCAAAGAACTGAGTGCTCTCAACAACCATGTGAACTTGGAAGAAGATCTTCCCCAGCCAAATTTCAAATGAGACCATGGCCCCAGGTGACATCTTGTTTGTAACCTTGTAAGACCGTAGAGAGTACCATAGCTAAGATCTGACCCATAGGAACCTGGTGAAAATAAATGTGGTTTTTAAGCTGCTAAATTTGCAGCAATAGATATCTAGTACATTATCCATCTGTACTCTCAAAACTCTAAAATAGGCTTTGTTTACAGCTTTTATCCCTGCTTCCTTTGTCTCTGTCTTTGTCTTTGTCTTTTTTCTCTGCTTACTTTGTCTCTCTCCTCTGGCCTTGGAGATCTGTGAGGGAGATGATTACATTTTCTCCATACCTTGATAGTCTTGAGGGCCACATAGAGTCTCCTTGGTGCTTAATAAATGTTCATTGAATGCATTTCCCTCCCGTCTCCTACAATACTTTTCAAATACTTGAAGATAAGCAGGCAGATTCTTGATTGGGTGCAAGGGGATGAAACTTGATTGCAAGTGTATGAAACTGAAATAGATCACAGGGGAGCAAAAATAACAACTGCATGGTGATGTGTCTAATGTCAACTTTTCAATGGCGTCATCTTGATTAATGAGGTCCTTCATTGGTGCAGTCAGTAGGAAAATGAAAAAAAATAAAAAGGACTTTTTCCTCTTATGGTCTACTTTCAAAGGCACTAGTTTCTCATTATGAGTAATCACATATCACTCTGAAAGAAGGGCAAACTTGAAATGACTAACTTTTAGCTTTTAAGGCCTACTATTCAAGTGAAGAGTAAAATATTCCTTTTATAAAACTGATGTTATGATTTCACTTGGATAATTTCATGCTTTGAAAAATGACAGTGTTCTTGTTCAATCTTCTGGTTAATGAATCTGTTTGAGGAGTCTCCTTGCTGAGAAAATTCCAAGAGTTTGCTTTTTAATATTTTGGGAGGGAGTTGATGAGATCAGCAGTATTTTTTTTTTTTAGATAAATGTGTTTTCCATGAAATTATAACTAAAATTTCAGGCGGGAACCACAGTGACTTATTTATTTGTATTAATAGGTAATCAATACATAGTTATTAAAGTGAATTAAATTCTAGCATTTATTGTAAATACAGTGCAAAGATCAAGGTCTTTGGAATTATATGATACAAGTTTTATCATGGCTCCCACTATTGCAAGCTATGTAACCTAAAAGAGACCTGCTGATTGTCGTGGGTACCCCTCCTCCTTCTCTACTTGAAGCACAGTGAAGGGTTATAACAGGACTGGGAGCATGTGATGTGGGGTCAATATCCCTGCTGCTATTTAACACAGACAGTACTGAAGGTCCTGGCCAACGTCATGAGGAAAGGAAAAGAAATAAGAGAAATAAGGATTGGAAGGAAATATTTTTTAAAAATCTGACAAACTGTTAGGACTAATAAGAGAGTTTAGCAAGGTAGCTAAAAACAAAACCAAAGTACAAAAATTAATAGCAGTTTCTACCAAAGCAATAAGCAACCTGAAAATTTAATTAAAATAAACACCATCCACAACAGCAACAAGTACAAATAATTTTAACTTAAATGGAATACACAAGACTTTCATGGAGAAAATCTTGAACTTAAATAAAAGCAAGAGAAGATTTCTGGTGTTCTGAATAAATGAAGAGACATTTTGTGCTCTTCGATGGTTCTATCCCTTATGAAAATGTAGATTCTCCCCTAGATTAATCCACATATATGCACTCCCAATAAAATCTCAGTTGGATGTTTTGAAGAATTCAGTAAACTTAGTCTAAAATTTGTATGGAAAATGAATGTCCCCAAACAATCAAGAAAACATTAAAAACCATAGTTAAGAGAGGACTTGTCCCATTGATATTGAGACATATTGCCAAAGCTACGATGAAGATGTCAGTGCTCACTGGCTTAATCTGTGGAGTTAAGGTCATCACAATCACAATGTTTGTTGTGTTGTAGTTGTGAATTGTGGCATACTGATTCTAAAATCTATATGGAAGAGCAGCAAGCCAATAATAGCCACAATATGCCTAATGGAGAAAAACTATGTGGGAGTATGGCACACAAAATGTCAAAACTTACCGTGAAGCTTTAGTAATTAAAATAGTGTGTCATCATTGCAAGGATAGACAGACTGTTCAATGCAGCAGAATATAGAACTCCCCAAGCCGACTCACAGATTCATGGAAATCTAATGACAGAGATGACACCACAGAACAGTGAGGAAGGAATGGATCTTGAAATTAATGGTTCTGGGAGAGTCATTCATATGAATAAAAAAGACACTGAGGGGTTTTTTTGTTTTGTTTTGTTTTTATTTTTCTATGGTTATTACACAGTACTTGTCATTAGCAAACTGAATTACCCAACAGAAAAAGACACTGAGTTTTATATCATACCATATACAAAAATCAATTCCAGGTAGATTATAGATAAATGTGAAAGCCAACACTATAAAACATTTAGAAGGCAACATAACGAAATATATTTGCAATCTTGGGATTATGAAGGATTCTTAAACAAGACTTTAAAATGTAAAGCATAAAGGAAATTTTTTATATACGTGTTACATTATGTTTAAGAATGTCTCTTCATCAAAAATGACCACAAAGGAAATGAAAGCAAACTGTTCACTGGGAGGAAATATTAACTGCTGTAACAGTCCATGGACTAGGGACCAGGATATACACATGAAAGACAGATAGAGAGAATTCCTAAAAATCAGTAAGAGAAGGACAAACAATAGAAAAAATACACGAAAGACAGAGGAGATGGAAATAGGAATGAACAATAAACATATGAAAAGATGCTCAACCTCATCAGTAGTTAAGGAAATGCAATTTAAAAGCACAATGTCAGTCAATAGTAAGCTGGATAAATTGCAGTAAGTTCATACAACAAAATATTATAGAGCAAATGAATGAACTACAGCCATATAAGACAAAGATGCATTGGCATAATGGAGGTGGAAAAGGAATAGAAAATGTTCTATTTCTTAACCTGGATATTATGTACTTAGGGGCTCATTGTGCTGTTATTCTTTCTATCTTATACATACCCTATAAATATCCTTTTTAATTTAATAAATGTTGGATCTAAGCTATTTTTTTTTAAAGAAGGCATGCATGTTTCCAGGTGTGGAGATCCTCTTAAATCTGTCCTATAGGGCTGTGGAGATGGGCAAGTAGGCCTGAGTAGGAATGCTAACTGTGGGCCATGAGACATGAGGGCTCAGGGGGAAGTAGCTTTAATCTAAAATATCACTCATAAATTAGATTCTAAATTTGAGATTATGTCTGATGTCTTAAAGTGACTGTAGGAGTTTTGCTTCTTAAGGGAGGCTAAGGAAATGATAGGGCCTTGACCACATTCCAGATGGGGCAGAAAGAACCTTCTCCTTGTACAAATCTTAAAGAATCATTGGGAGACAAACAAAAATGCTTATGATTATACCCCATAAATCCTGCTCATTCACCCCGCTTCATATGGTGGTTAAGAAAATCAGAGATAATGAATATAAAATAGACCTGCCACATGGGTAAGTGCAGCAAGTATTAGCTCCTATAATTATCATTACCTTATTTTAGGGTGGAATTGCAAAATGATTTTATATTTTCTTTGCACTACTAATAGGGGGATTTTCGTATATACAGATCTACTAAAATGTTATCATGGAATTTAGGAGACTTAACTTTACTAGATTTACAATCTATGAGAAACTGAAGTTGTTGAAGTGTTTAATATTTGCAGTGTTCAGACAATGTGCTTGGGTCAAAACAGCCATCAGAATCACATAACTTGCCCCGGGAAACAACAGTCATTGTTTGCGAGTTGCCACTGTAAACTGATAGCTGACCTTTATTCTTAAATGCAGCCACCATTACATTTTAACATTCTTTTCCTAACATATGTCTTCATCTATTATTAATTTATTTTTTTAGGGAGAGAGACAAAGGGCTACTTGTGAAGCTAATTGGAAACTTTGGTTCTAGGTTTTATCTTTTGTTTTGTTAAATTAATATTGGTCATAACATAGAAAAGAAGAAAAAAGCACTAAGATAGAAAAGTGGAGCAAATGCCAAGCCTCCCATGTTGAGCCCAATACAGGATCACTGAGTAGAGTCAGAGACCTAATGAGAAATGTCAGGTATTAGTAATAATAAAATAAAGTAGAAATTTGGGGTACTGAATTCTGTCTGTCTGTCTCTACAGAATAATACTGGAATCATTTGAGGGAAAGGGGACAAGGAAAGATTTGAAGTGATTTATGTAATAAATAATTTCAAAACAGAGAAACACAGCCTTCTTAAATGTAATAGAAGAAAGGATAAGTTTCATGGAGACTTCTGCCAAATAAGAATTTGGTAAGTAAATATCCATACAGAGAAAAACAATGCTTGATACCCAAGTATCAGGCATTAAACGTAGCCAAAATGTGCATTTGTTTGTGCTACTGTCTTACCTCTTCCCTTATAACCTTAATTCTATGCCAGATGCATCTTGATTATGCTCATTTTGAATCTTTATAAGATTGTGCATAG